TCAATCGACTGAGCTCAGATGCGAACAAAATCTTTATATCGAAAACAAAATGGCAACCTTTTTAGGGGTAATATCCTTGTTTACTTTAATACTTAACATACGTCCAAATGGATGACTTGCGCTTTAGAAAAGTTTTTAATCTGGGGATAACAAAGGAGGATATTTTTGGAAAGAAGTTATCAAAATTAGAAAAACAAAGTTTGGTTGCGAAATGTTGTAAAATACGGAAAATATAGCCCTGCGAAGTTGGCAAATTTGTATACATTTCTATTACGTGCGGAAATTGGTAACTAATTTAGTTACGAATTCACGCACGTAATACAAAAGTATACAAATTTGCGAACTTTGAAGAGCTATATTTTCCGTATTTTACAACATTTCGCAACCAAACTTTGTATTATTACTAATTCCAAGACGCTCTTTCCAGCTGTACTGTGGTGATAGATTTCGTTGTTCTTAGTTAGATTAAAATGTAGTCTAAAGCGCCAGTCGTCCATTGTTGGATCAACAATGTTTGAATATTTTGAACAGACCATATGATTGGAATAGCAGGGCTGCAGGTTCAATTCAAAGCCAGAGAGCCTATAGTTGTATTTTACGCACCTGTTTGTGGTTGTATGTGCACAGTAGGTCTAAAATTGTATATAATCTTCGGCTTGAAATTTCCATTTGCAAATATCGAGATTTTTGGGCATCTCGCTCGATAGGACTAACAGCCTAAAGTAGTAAAGGCCTCCGTACAGACCGGACGCGATTTGGCAACGCGACGCGAATTTTCAATTTTCAATGACATTTGACTTAAGTATTTAGTTGTATGTTTTTCAAATATTCGAAACCACTTAAGCAATTGTAGCTATTTGGTCTGCATATCTTGTAAAATTTTTATCCGTTGACGGTTTTATTTGTTTTTGAAAACTAAAAATTCGCGTCGCGTTGCCGAATCGCGTCCGGTCTGTGTGGGCCTTAAAAAGTGAGATGTCAAGATGATGAATTTTGGAAATCGTCGTCAGGCCGAGCATTCGACGATTGTTTGTTTTTTATTATACATCTACAGTACAGTACGTATTTTACGTCGCTATTTGGTCAGTTCTGCAACTTCTGGCCAAAGCGTTCATATCTTCATATTTATGATTTTGTGATATGTGCTTTATTGATGCACATTATCATATGCGGTGTCCTCGGGTATATTTTACGACAATGCGATTCATTGATAATGTAGTTTCATTCATTATTTAATATTTTGAAGTTGTCGCTTTTGAATATAAAAGCCGACTGTCTTTGTGACTTGAATGCCGAAGCACAGCTGTCATTTGAGGTACCCGGACATTTTGCCGAAAGACATTTTGCCGACGGACGTTTTGCCGAACGGACATTTTGCCGAACGGACATTTTGCCGACGGACGTTTTGCCGAACGGACATTTTGCCGACGGACGTTTTGCCGACGGACGTTTTGCCGAACGGGCATTTTGCCGAACGGACAGTTTGCCGAACGGACAACTTGCCGAAAATAGAGATATATTTCGTCAAAAAGTTTGGGACTGTGCTTCATTTCTCAACTTTGTAATTCTCAACCATTGTGTAAAATAACCATTATTTAGCCATTAGCAGTGCTTAATGGATCATTAGCAGTACATAACCATATTGACTATTGGTAGCTTGTTTGTGCAGCGGATGACTCATTTGTTAGGAACGTGTTTTGACGTCAGGTCGTAAACAAACAAGCGTGCACAAAGACAACGATGTAAACAAATTTCACTTCGCATGCAGTTTTCGGGGAAATCGCATTCATCAATGATGTTGAATGATGTTATTCTTTTTATCGCGAAATTTCGGTAAACTTGTCAAAAACTTGAAAGAATATAAAACGAAACTATACTTCACTATCATAGTTTCTGTCATCAAAATTGACAATGACTTTAATCACAGAAATTTTGACCGTGTAAGCGAACCTATAAAGTTCAGAAGATTATCTCTATTTTTTGCAAACTGTCCGTTCGGTAAAATGTCCGTTCGGCAAAATGTTCGTTCGGCAAAACGTCCGTTCGGCAAAACGTCCGTTCGGCAAAACGTCCGTCGGCAAAATGTCCGTTCGGCAAAATGTCTTTCGGCAAAATGTCTTTCGGCAAAATGTCTTTCGGCAAAATGTCTTTCGGCAAAATGTCTTTCGGCAAAATGTCCGGCCATTGACATTGATGTAAAATGAAATGAAACGGCTGATGCCTAATGGAATGAAAGTGGCATGTTGCATCGAAAAGGCACCAGGACGGAATTTAAGGTCTGATTTCAGTGTTTCAACCATTCCGGAAATTGGTAAATCTCATCAGGGAAATTTTTATTTTGAACGTGAAGAAACAAGTAAACAACATGTGGAATCTCCAACAATGAACATCCATAAAATTTGTTATATTCAAAAGAACAATAGACCTTTCCCCTTATAACCAAAATTTTGATCTAGGCAAGTCTAGACAAATATTTCATCACAGCTTGAAAGAGCATCACAAAATTAGTAATATTCCAAAGTTTCGTTGCGAAATGTTGTAAAATGAGGAAAATAGAGCGTGGCGAAGTTTGCAATTTTCAGTCATTTTGCATTACAAACGGGAAATTGCAGCCCCAACACCCGAATCGGATGTCAATTTCCCATTTGTAATACAAAATGTCTGAAAAACGGCAAACTTCACAAGGCTATATTATCCGCATTTTACAAGATTTTGCAACAAAACTTTGGAATATTACTAATTTTGTGATGTTCTTTCAAGCTGTGATGAAATTTATGTCTATAGATCGAAATTTTAGTTATAAGGGGAAAGGTCCATTGTTCTCACGCTGGGTCGCTGTGTAGTATGCTACCACAAAAACCTGTTTCTCAATTCTTTCATACTCCAGCCAGCGAGAAACTAAAAATGTGTTCGTCTTTCTTTTACTCTATGCAAAACCAGTAATTCTATGGCAGAAATATCACTAATGAGTAATGGGACATTTTTCCATATGAACTAAGGCCTGTTTCAAACGCCGCGCCTCTCATGTGTCGAACGCATTAAAAACAATAGATAATCAGCTGAAATGCCTCATTATCTATTATTTCTAATGCGTTCGGCACATGAGAAGCAAGACGTTTGAAACAGGCCTAATAACTGATCTAGATTTTAAAATTTTCTGGGAGCATACTACAGACCTCCCTTATACCTTAGCATTCATGCAATCTTTTTAGACAAGCTTTTTGAGGCTAACACATGTACGTGGTGCGTACCTATTTTTCACTATTTTGAATCAAATTCCCGCCTATTTGCAAATTACGGGTCCACAATCATGTTAAAAATGCATGTCAGCGGTCGTTAGTCACTCCTTACTTTATGTAATTTCGTGTTTATACGTCACACGCAAGGCCCACGCACAGTTAACTATATATGACTAGTTAACTACATGATTAGTTAACTACTTGACTAACTTTTCTGCAATGCAGTTAACGTGTAGTTAACTAATTACAGTTAAGGATTTAACTAAGGTAGTTCAATGCGGAACTAGTTCCGTGCGGAATTAGTACCCTTACCCCGGGCTTACTCCCAGAATGGCACTCCACGCCGTTGGTTGGGGGATTAGTGACAACATTCAATGCCAATGATCAATATTGTATAAAGCGATGGACAAAGCTGACAAGTTTTTGCTATATATAGAGTGTAGTTAATTTGTTGTTTAATTTTAATAAGCAATATGCATGCACACATTATTCTTACGTTTACAAATTAACATAACTGAATATACGTTTGTTTATGTGCTTCAGTGCATGTTAACTACCATCACCATTTTTTAATTAATATGTTTTGTCCTCAATGGAAAAGTAAAACAACATAATGGTGGGGACTTATCTTAAGTTGCTTGAATAACGACAACAAATAATTTGAAGTCGACTCCAGGGGACAACTTGAATTAATTAATACAGTCGTTGAGTACATGAGTGTGTTGTCAAAACAATGTCCGAAAATTCTACTTTGCCCTCTCGAGTTCAAATTTCAGTGCAAAATTTGCATTAACGTCTAGTCGCGTTCAATTTGCTGCAGCTGTTGCAGGCATTTTTCTGTGGGGAATAATATTGTCTGCAAAAGAAACAAAATTGTTCTAAAGCGAACCCAACAGTCAAGATAAGGTAGGCTAAATTCTGGGTGTTGAAATTTGAATATTTGTTTTTGATGTGCGCAATGTCTACATTTGTCATAGCCTTTATCTGGTGAATAACGTACTGCATTACAGCGCAAAGTTGTGCCTGGTAATAACGCTGTCCAAGTTTCGTAATAATATTTTGCTATCGTGGTGTTTGGGTAATTGTAAATATATTTTTGAATTCTAAAGATTGCTTTTGAATATTTTTCAAAATACTACATGTTTGTCAAGTCCTATACCGACGCAGGCGTGAGGAGAAGCGATAATGATCCAACTGCATTTTGAATGTAAATTAAATTAAGGTGATTCATCGGTAATTTTGAAGTGACATGATATATGCTCGTAGTAAAAAGTGACATACAAAATATTTTGGACTTAAATATAGAAAATATGTTACACTAAAACTAAAATTATAATGTTATTTTCTAGTTTGATATAACAAATAGTAGATGGGTTTTGTTTGGAGGCAGAATCATAGGCGTACGTAAATTATAATACATTGCAAACTTTTTTTCATCGTCACCCCCAACAACAATTTTGGAAAGCTTGCACGGAAAATTTTTAGTCGGGCACAACGGGAAAAAGGTGGGCAAATTTCTTTCTGCCCCCTAATTTTTTTCCTTCCCGTACGCCTATGGGCGGAATATTCAAACATAAATTTGTATAAATTTTTAGACCTAACCAAGAGGTGTTGCGAAAAATGCAACTGTACGCCCTCTAACATAAATCAACCCTGCGTCCCTGCGATTTTGGTGCAGCGCTCGAACCGACTGGGTTACAGAGTCCTGTTCCAAACCACAATGACTTTTATCAATAATACCAAAATTAACTAAAATATTCCATGTTTCAGATGGAACATCGCTTCAAAAAAGTCAACTACGACGGAATAAAATGTTCTGTAATTTTGGCCACGAAACGTTTTCTTTCGTTCTTTATCCTGCTATATTTTGGTGGAAGTCTTGTTGTTGGCAACAAAGATATTCCATGTTGTCACGAGATTTGGAAAGATCTTGGAAACGATATGGTAGACTGGCGCGAGCGATGTTTGGATGGAGATAACGAAATTAATTCTTCATGTTGTCAAGCGGAAAAAGAATATTTTGAAGAAAGGAGACGCAACCACAGACAAATGTGTTTTTATGAAGGTATAGAATGATAGTAATGATTATGATTTGAAGTGTTAAAGGAGCTGCGCATGCATGCATCATACACGGTCCACGCGCAGTTTCGATGTCTCTGCATTTTCTTTACGATTGGTTGATGTGAGATATATCATATAGCCTACAACATGTTTGTTCCACGCAGCTTCCTGCTAATGAACTTCATCAGCGAATATTCCACCGTAGTTATTCGGAAAGTCAGGGTGATTCCCTCTCTACGGCAACGCAGAATTTAAATTCGGGATACACATCAACTTTATACACCTTAAATTGGATATGTAAACTCACGCAACTAATTGGCGAAATATTAATTTCAAAAGGATTTGATTTAAATTTATATAACAACTCAACCAAAGAGCGTAAAACACAAGTGTCCCATTACTAGTTCTCAGTCCTTAGCTTTGAGTTCTAGAACTTGGAATTAATTGACCACTTGCGTAATAGACTAAATTTTGATCTAGACAAAAATTTCATCACAGCTTGAAAGAGCATCACAAAATTAGTAATATTCCAAAGTTTCGTTGCGAAATGTTGTAAAATGCGGATAATATAGCCTTGCGAAGTTTGCAATTTTCAGTCATTTTAGATTACAAACGGGAAATTGACAGCCCCAAAGGGTATCCGTCCCTTAAATTATCCAGCAGCTGCGTAACTTAATTTGGGGGAAAATGTTAAACACTTTTTTCAAACAGTTTGTACATGACATATCGTCTAATTTGTCTCTTTCGACACTCTAATATCTCTTTAGATATTGTTTTACAAAAGTAACTTACTTTTTCAACTTACTTGAAGCCATTACAGGGGTGAATAGGTTTTCGGATCGTCGGATTTTACAGAAAAAATTGTTCGGATTTCGGATCTGGCTAATATTTTACACGGATTTGCGGATCTTATTAATACCGCGGTTGCGGATTTATCTAATATTTTGGCTCGGATTGTGGATTTGGCTTGCAATTTAGTTCGGATCCTGGATTGTGACTTCATAGAGCTTTTAGTGGATCCAAATTTAGACAAGACCATTGTCGGTTCGCGGATTTTGCTTCAAATTTGGGCAGATCGGCGGATTTGTATACCCCCCTCCCCATTACAAAATACATATGATTTATTTATTTAGAATAAAAATCTTTTGCAGGTCCATTCCCAGAGCCTTACCTTCTTGCAGTCAGTGAAACACGAATAGCAGTTGTTGATATAACATCTAATTATTCAACAGTCGTCGTCGATGAACGTCACAGAATCGAAAACTTGATCATTGATCCCGTTGAGGAGAACATGTATTTCAAAAGTGGGACAAAAGTGTACAGAGCGAATTTTGACGGCTCTGATAAAGAAGTAATTCATCAAGATAAAGAAAATGCTATTCGATTATTTGCACTCGACTGGCTAGGCAGACACATGTTCTGGGTGAATTCAAAGGGAGAGAACATTTTAGTTGTGGGTAATGTGAACTTCTATAGCGGAAAAAATATCCGTGTCAGTGAAGACAAAATTGCAAGTTTGGCTGTAGATCCTAATACAGGGTGAGTCGCGGGGCATTTGCCAAGGACATGGATCATTGTTTTTGCTTGATAATATTCAACACTAACAACTGACAAGACCAGCCAAGTTGTTATGTTCTGGGCCTCTTGCTATCTTTAAAACAGGGAATGGGGAATCCGGGAATTGGGGTATGGATGCAATGGTGAAATAAAAAAAGAATCTGTCCTGTATGATCTAATTGTTGTATACCGTGACGTCCGGACTCAGGGTGTACTGTGTACAGGCAAAAAGTTACGGGGCATGTGCAATACACACACGACCTGCAGAATATCCATTTTCACCTACGAACAGCATGTATCAGGCAAGATACCCTAATTTTCCTAGTGCTAGTGCTCTCATCGTACCAAGCGAATTATACATGACACTTTTGTTTGGAACACACGCAACGACTAAATGCAGAGTTTGGTTGAGTGCCTTATTAATTCCTGCAGAAAAACTACGTACATTGGATCGTATTTAAATTAAATTACAGCATATTATGCTGTATTGCTGTGTACCATTGAGTTAAAATAATTTTCTGTTGGTTATTCATGGGTTATTAACTTGTGCATTGTGCAAGGAACAAAAATATTTGATAGTGGAGTAACAAATAAAAATTATAGACTTTTTAGCTCACAGAATTATTTTATGATATATGATTGGCACGACTGTCTGCCATGATTAAAAATGTCCACTTTTCTCGTCTTTTTCCTATCGGTATTGTAGCCTAGCAAGATTCTGTGTAAACCCATGCACTAATCAACTACCAGTATATATAAATTGCAACTTGAATTCATTTCATAATTTATTTCTTTATTTGAAAAACGGGGAATCCCGATTCCCGGATTCCCGATTCTATTGCATGAGTATTGTTTAACTGTTGTTTTTATCTGTTTTACAAAGAAACAAACAATTTCGTAATTAGCTATCCCACTCAGTTTTTAGCGTTGTCGGACAGATGTGTTAAAACATTTTCTGATTGTAAAAGAAATGAGCCGAAATGTGTGAAATTTTCTTATAAACCAATTATCCGGGATATTTTTGTCCTGGAGTTTTGTCGACAGGGCCGTTTTCGGGTTTTGTGATCTGAAGCCTTTGTCGACATTTCTCGTGGAATACTAGCCTGCGCCACAAACTATAATGACAATATATGGTTCATGTCAATTCACAACCAACACAACATGAACTTTCATTTATAGTTTTTCAAACGTTTCACATTTACATGTCACGGGCGCATAGTTCTAAATTAAAGAAATTTACCAACTTCACGTAACTGATTTATATTGTTGTCTACTTAGATATATTTTTTCTAAAAATGGTGGATCAACTCTGGCGCGAACCAATTTTATCGGAGAGGATCATAAGAAGTTCAATATTAAAGATGGCCAATCCAGAATGTATCTCGATTATGTCAACAAGGAACTGTGCTATTATCGAAAGAGTTATACGAGCATAAATATATCTTGCTTGGATTATGATGGTGTTTTGTTGAAAAACATTTCATTTCCGGAAGGGAACGTTAGTGCATTTACTGTAGTCGGAGATTTTCTTTACCTCCAGAAAATGGACGCAATAGTGATTCAGGAGATGAATGTATCCACGAGTGTTGTATATCGAAACATTTCTTTACCAAAAGCGTTTCCCCGTTTGATTGACCTTGCCATCGTTGAGCGATCCCAGTACCCAACAGGTAAGATAAAAACAATATGCTTTTGTGACATTCGTTTGCATAAAATTCTAAATTTCCGATCAGGAAGTGCAAAGTTTTCTTAAAGTCTGTTTTCTTAAATTGAATGTGGACTGGTTGCAAAATTCTGGCAACAGGTTGTGAATTTTGTTGGAAGAATTGTTACACATTGATTGGTAAAGCTGCATAGTGAGTTTTCGTGGTGGATTCTTATGGTGCTAACGCAAGGCAGAAAAAATACAAGAGAGAGCCCTCTTCTCTCTTTTGTATCATCTCATGCTTGACTTGATGGTACGTGGGTAATGCATGATGAAAAACTGGACATGTATAATCAAGAGATGATCTAATGCACGTGCAATAATAGGCTACGAGATCTTTCGGTGAGGTCTGTGCTCGCTTTTATAAGTTGAACGAGAAAGTACAGTTTTTTAGAGGATTTCTTAACCAGTCCCTCAATATGATCGTTCCATGTTAAGTTGGCGTTAATTGTAACTCCAAGCAACTTTACGCTTTGCACTGACTCGATGAAATTTCTCCTTAATTTTACATAATTCTTGTATATTTAACTACTATATTCCATATATAACTACTATATTCCAATTTGTACCCCGAGGTACAGTACCCCATGCAGAGAGCATTTCCCCCCACTCTGACACACAATCTTTTCCGTGTTTGACTCTCTGTGATCTTTTAAAAGAAAATCAAATTGATTATGCTATTGGGAATTTTGACCTGTAGTTTGAATTTATCGATTTATATGCTATAGTTTATGAGATCCAAGGCCATGCGGTAGTCAATGAGGAAAACCCGACCAACCGCTCCATTATCGTCCATTGCCTCCAACCATCGGTGCACCATACTGATAAGTGCCAAAACGGTAGAAGAGCCAGATATGGTAGTCTTGGTAGAAGAGCGAGATATGGTGCCAAACTGGTTTGAGTCAACAATTCTTTCTAAAGCCGGTTTGATATAATCGGGCACTACGAAATCTTCTGCTAATTTCGAAAGGGAAGGGGTCAGAGAATTCGGTCTTTCTTGGGGTCGAGTTCTTTCTTGGGGTCGAGTCATCTCATCGCGTCAGTGCACTAACGGGCATTACTTCTGCTAACTTGAAAACGGAATATAACTACTGTTCCTTGTATGAAGCGTTTAAAATGTTTTTAAATTAAACAGTATTTCGGTAGAATCTGTCTTTGTTAACAGCATTTCGGTACAATCTAAGCCAATACCTGCAAAACTAGTACAAGTATTGTCCTGAAATATTTATATGGGCTTTATGTATGGAAAATTTGATGAAAAATATTACGCGAAAAAGTTGTCATGAATACCTATCAACCCTAAATTTCAGCATTTTTAATTATCTTATATATACTGTAGTTACAATGAAAGTATAAGTACATTTAAATAAAGAGAAACAATTTTTTTTATATACTACCTTTTTTATATTAACCTAACAGCTAAAAATTACAATTAGGAAAATAATTTTGAAAATACTCGAAGTAGGCATACCACCCACCTGTAAAGCCTGGTTCACACTAGCAATTTTGTCGGCAATTTTGTGTTTCTGACGGATGCAAACGAGTGAACTCGCACACAAAAGTATAGAGTCGCTTTTCAGAAGTGAACAATTCTAAGTCTTTTACATGTCATTCATTCCATCACATTTGCCAAGAGGAGAAAAATTGCCGACAGAATTGCCAGTGTGAGCCAGCCTTAAACGTTTTGTCGGGATATACCAAATTGTGCAGCAGATTACCGCTCCCCCTCCCTTCCTCCCAGTCCCAGAAGACCCAAAAAGCCCAGTCGGGATAGGGTTAATAACAGTCGAAGCTACAAACAAATGGCGTAAGCTTATATTCAAGGAAACCAAAGAATATAATATGGTTAATCGCAAGCCTCTAGTGAGTTAACTCAGGACGCAGTGCAACACGGGCGGTGAAACGCGCAGATCAGTAAATGACCGTGCCACGTGTGTTGATACATCATATAGGACTCGCACGAGCGCGCTTTCTTAAAAAAATGAACAAAATAACATGCGGATAATTATTCATTGTGAATAAAAGATGAAATTACAATAAACTTTGTTATTTTTCACCCTGCTCGGTTTCCTTTGTTCTTAGCGGGGAATATATTCAATATTCCACTCTAATCAATTTCCGTTTAATAATCCCCTCTAATATTCACCTGCAATTAATAATCCCCTCTAATATTCACCTGCAATGTCTTTGCAGCACAAAAAAATGAGAAAAAACAACATCGCGAAGGCAATATGGCATTGAGAATTATTTCTTTTCTGACTCATTAACGCGACCTCGCAGTGTGAAAAATAAGTACGTTATTTTGAGGCACCTCGGGGATATGTGTTTATTCACCTCGGCGCTGCGCGCCTCGGTGAATAAATCACATATCCCCTCGTTGCCTCAAAATAACCTATACTAATTCGGTGCAGGGGCGTAGGAACGACTCTAAAAGTGTGTGGGGGGGGGGCACACTTAGCGCTCGCCGAAAGCGGGTAACATTCTATGGTGGTCCGGGGGCATGCCCCTGGAAAAATTTTGAAACTGAAGTGTCTGAAATGCCATTTCTTGCACTTTAGAAACTTTAGAAGCAGATTAACAGAGTTCAAAAGATAACAAAATATCATAGACGTAGAAGTAGTATCAATTAACTTTGTGGTTTATTATTGACCATTGTTTTAAAGAGTGAGGGGGGGCAAAGACATTTAATCCCCCCCAACTAAAAAAGTGGGAGGGGGAGGGGCCCCACGGCCTTCCCCGCTTCTGACGCCCCTGGTTCGGTGACATGATGTAGTGGCTTGTGCCTTTTCCTGCATGTTGAACACGAAAAAGGCAAGTTAGGGGAAATCATAGGGTAAACATTTATTAAACAAGAAATATATTCAGTGGCAAATTTGAAGCGCCAACTAACTTGATTTTTGCCCATTGAGGTAGATTGAGATAAAATTGAATAAGAAAATAAAATTTAAAAAACTCGAAAAATAAAAACATCGTGAATCCCAACATATTAAAGAAAAACAATTTAATTGATTATATTTCCATTCTTACATCAGAATCGTCATCATGCGGACCAACTGCTTTACAAATAAATGCAAACTTTTATATATGTACCAGAAATACACGAATGCAGCAACGGTTCAGGAAGTGAGAAAAATATATGTATCTTAAAAATACCATTGTATATCGTTTTGTACTATTAGGAAGGTCTTTTCAAAATATTTCTGTTAAAAAAAGTCTAGTTTCAATAAATCCGTGAAATTTAATACGTTTTTAGTTTTAATTTTTAGACCTCGTTTTTGAAACGTTTTAACTGCAAAGATTGCTTGTTTTATTAAAGATTTTGCCTTACTGTGTATAATTTTTCCCGATTAGATGGATGTCCCATTTCTCCCTGTGGTGTTAACGAATATTGTAGCAAGATGAATGGCGACCTCTCGTGTAAATGTGGATATCCTTTTAAACGGAATGGATCCTCTTGTGAACTCGAAGAAGGTATGAAAAATGTTCATATGATAAAATGAAGGATTTTCCTTTTTTCATATGATGGGTTTTCTATAAGATAAATTTAATAATTTTGTTTCCAAATGAGCGCCCACCCGGACCACCCCTTGCTCGTTAATATTCTATTTTGTATGACGACGATCCACTATCCGACAGCTGACATAGAGTGCCCAAGCGACTGCAGTCTGGATATAAAAGATTGGATTAAATTTCATTGCCATTATTTGAATCAACTGTGGAGTTAAATTTTTGAGGAATGGATCAGAATAACTGTTTGCAGTAAACAATGTACAGCAGCGACTGAACAGCCAATCCGTTTAGTTAATTAACTTGCATTAGCTTGATGCATGTTTAGACAAATGAAATACAGTAGAACCCCGCTAACTCGAACTCCCAAGGGGAACGAAAAATTGTTCGAGTTAGCGGGAGTTCGAATTAACCGGACTTGGTGTCAGATTTCGTTTATTATGTTAATAATTAATAAGGTATAAACGTTTTATTATACTGTTCATCAAAATTACAACAGGTTTAATTGTGCATCCCTATATAACTAAAGTTCTTTATAGTCAGTATCTTTTTAACTTGGGTGATGGAGGAGGCATGCAATTTCCATGCAAACTAAAGTTCTTTGGACATGAAAAATATGTAGAAATTTACAAAAGGAACTAAAAAAATTAGATCAATAACAATCGTCGCAACTATGTGTATGATCTCCTAAAATTTATGATCATTTATGCACCGATTAAATTGTTGTTATTTGAATAAAAATCCAAGTTACCGGTTGTCAAAATGCTATGTTCTGACATTTTAAGGTTTGCCGGTCCACGACTCGAAAACAAAGTTCGAGTTAACGGGATAAATTTGACCAAGGGAAAACAAAATTTGTTCGAATTAGCGAGGAGTTCGAGTTAAGTGAGTTCGAGTTAAGCGGAGTAAATTACTATAAAAAACAGTGTCAGATCCAAGGAGAATTGGATTTAGTTCGAGTTAGCGAGGAGTTCGAGTTAACGGGGGACTACTGTATACTTATGTGATATAAGTCATAAATGAGCTGTGAAAGACACTGTGCCATCAACAACCATCTATTTACATGGTACTTCATATAAACACAACCACACAGACACGCAACAGGAGTCCATTATTTTCTTGGTTATTGAATCTTCGAAGTAGATTATATGCTATCGACATGTTAACTGTTCACTATTAACTGATATTAACTGTTCACTGTTATCCTAGCCAATCAGCGACCAGTATTACCAAAAATTACGTAATTACAAATCACGGGTAGGTCGCAAGACAATCCATTAATATGGCGGTAAAGAGGGGTTAAAATTTATGATTTGTATTTATTCACTCATTGAAATATGATGACTTGTGGATGAAAATGGTGCGAATCAAGGTAAATTAATCTTGGAACTACGTGTCTGTTTTGTAGTAGCATGCTTGCTGTACACTTTTCAGAAATTTACGAAATAGTACGTATTGGTTTTCGATTAAGCGTCTAGCCGTCTACCATGTTTCCTATTTGGAGTCATCTGGACACCTGATAGGCATTTCCGCATTTGAATCCGTTTTGGCGCTCGAATGAAGGCGAAATTTGGTAAATATGAGCTACAGAATTATTTTAAAGTATAACAACCAGCGAAGAAGTAAGCCACTAAGGTTTCGAGTAAAATTGGCCCATTAAGTACTATTTAAAACACGACAACGAGTGTTTTGAATAGCTTAAAATACGACTACAAAAGATTACTAATTAGGATGAACAATTACATAATCATACTAATTAGGATGAACGATTATATAAAGAATACTAATGAAGATGAGTTTTATCAGATATCACAACCTAAATAATTTACCAGAAGTATTTTCAAATTATTTTGTAACAAATAGTCAGATTCATCAGCATAACACGAGAAATGCACAGAAACTACATAAGTGTTATAATAGAACAAATTACGTAAAACAAACTTTATCAACCAAAGGAGTTGAAATATGGAATAAACTAGATCCAAATTTCAAAAGTATAAATTCGTTAAGTACCTTTAAAAAACACATTAAACAAATATTATAAACGTATTGTATCTCAACTGCATGTCTTCATAGCTACTATAGTCTTATTTTGCACATCACATTTCCTTCGTTAATTTGTAAATAGTTCTATATATTTTAAAACTTTTTTTATTCGTTGAACAATGTCTGTAATTATATTGATAAATTTTCATAACATGAACAAAACTAGGGGCCTAAATTAAAAAGCCTGTAAAGGTTTCTGGACTCTGGTAGGTTCGTAGCCCAACATTATTATTAGAAATCTATCTTTATATAAAAAAATTGTACATAGGGAAAAATTCATTAAAAAAAAAAGATGACATCATCACAAATTGAGTTAATCCTTCTTTGCTTCCGTTGCGTTTTTGCTATTTTTTTATCAGGACCACCTATGAGGTAAGTGAAAAAATCCAACAACATGTCAGAAATTTCAACTTTTACTCTTATTATATCAGCAAGCTTCACTTCGTCTGGTGTTGCTACTTTCTCAGCATCTATAATCGATTGTCTTAATTCAAACGCTACGTCCCCCATCTTGGCCTTTATCTTTGTTTTGATTGAATTTTCTCTTCTAAATGCTTCTTCATCCGAGATTTCACTGCTGAATACCAGGTTACCACGCCTTGTCTTTCCTTTAATGATTTCTATTCGATTTCAAATAGTCTGATACAATGTATTCACAGAACAATGTATTCACAGATCAGACAGACAGACAGACAGACAGGTAATTTATTCTCTGAACACTATTTCAGCAAACAATATGTCTGACTTTTAATACATTTAGTAAGACAGTATGGATCAAGCTATAGGATGGCGTTCATGAGAGTCTGTGCTCAGTAAGTTAATGTAATTCATATGCTCGAGGTTTACCATTAGACTCTAGCTATATATAGCAGATTCAATGGACCTTTAACCTGATAACTAAAATTTTGATCTAGACAAAAATTTCATCACAGCTTGAAAAAGCATCACAAAATTAGTAATATTCCGAAGTTTCGTTGCGAAATGTTGTAAAATGAGGATAATATAGCCTTGCGAAGTTTGCAATTTTCAGTCATTTTAGATTACAAACGGGAAATTGATACCCAAACACCCGATTTTGGGTATCAATTTCTCGTTTGTAATCTAAAATCAGACTGAAAATTGCAAACTTCGCAAGGCTATATCATCCGCATTTTACAACATTTCGCAACGAAACTTTGAAATATTACTAATTTTGTGATGCTCTTTCAAGCTGTGATGAAATTTTTGTCTGCCAAAATTGCCTTTGCAGCATGAAGTATGTCTTCTGTTGTGAGTCTTCTATTCGTCTTATGTATTCTTGCAAAGCCAAATTTCAAAGTTTATGAATCTTAATAATCAATAAACCATCATCCCTTGCGCGCTCAGAGTTCAAGGTTTAAGTTTTTGGAACGACAACCTTAGTTGAATTAGCTGTATATAGAGGATATTAGACGATTGCAAGCAGATATGGATTTATGTTCGAGTGGCAAAACTAGTTCGCTCACGAGTGAGTGCACCGAACGAGTGAGATTTTTTTTGACACGAGAACATAAATCCACTCAAAGACGACATGAAAATAAGCTGTGAAAGATCAGTATAAAAGCGATATTTTTCAAATTATAATGCAAATTAAACATAAAATTTATCTCAAGATGTTTTTTAAATGTTTTTGTTTTATTTCCAACGTTAATTTCGTTTTAAATACGACCCAAAGACCATTTGTATTTTCGAAAAAACAACAATGAAAATGTCACTCGCAAGCGTGAAATAAGGAAAATACGCGCATCTGGTCATGGTTGTAGTGGCATATGAGTTCTACGAGTGTTTTAGTTTCCTGTAAAACACCATTGTCCATATAACTAAATATGCATATGTATAGGCGATAAATTGCGTTTATTTTTGAGGCATCTCACTTGAATGAATAATATTTGATGGGTATTCTAGAAGGAACACGTTGAGTGGAAATGTATATACATTTATTAGACCTAATCAGGAACAGAAGCGAATAATGCAAATTTAGGTCTCCAGCAAGAATTGAACCTGCGGCCCTTCGATTCTGGTGCAGCGTTACGTACCAACTGAGCTATACCCTATTATATATACATGCTTTGCCTGCAGCTGGCTATTTGGTATATGTATTGCACTAAATCATTGTTACTATTTCATGTATGTACTTGTACTTGATTTTACCTGCTTTGTAGCTTATGATATTAATGAGAACAATTGTTTAGACTGTGACAATTTTCGACTGTTTCAACACTATAAATTCTGATCGTTCAGATAATGTTTTATAAGCAATAGTTCAATTAACATGTTCAACGCATTCAGTGTTATATTTATACTGCACCTTTCTAAGCACACCCATCTTTACTAGAAGAGAACAAAAACCAATTCTATTACGTCATCAGCCTAAATCGTGTGACGTTGTAGGAGAGAGAGTAGAACGCATGCGCAAATCAGTTGTGTTGTTCACGCGCCAGTGACTATTTGATGTTTTTGGAGCTCGAAGAATTGTACTTGAAATCAGTCCTGAATCGTGCCTGAAACCCATCCAAAGACGAATAATTCAGCTAAGTTTATATATTCATGTTATAGTGTCTTGTTAGTGTGAATTAATTTAGAATGTCGGCTTGCGAAGGCGAAGATATGGCTGATATATTTCCGGCTGGCGAGAGGGAAGACCCTCCGCCACAGCAGTCGTCTAGTAACGGCTCGACGAGCACATAAGACGATCTTTTGTTTTCTTTTCTTCGAGATATGCGACAAAATAAGACATGCAATTTACGCATAAATTGTTGGCACAAATACTTACGTAAGGCAACACAAGCTCATCTCAAGGAGATGAAAATTTTGGCGGGAAACGCAAAGCCACGATGCTTGAGGACGACGGTCACATTAACGCTAAAAAGCGTAGTAAGAATACTCATATAGCTTCAGAGAAAGCACCAAAAGGCGCTTCAGAGAAAGCAATAGATAACGCTTCAGAGAAAGCACAAGAAGTTGTTTCAGACGATGAAGTGCATGATCGGACTCAAAATGAGTAAAACATAGTGGAGGACGACATATTAAAGCGTCCATGTTGGAGAAGATGATAAAATTAATCACGCTGAACTAGTTTTAGATGAGCGTGAGGACGCAGGGGCGTAGCTAAGGAGGGGGGGGGTTCGGGGGGTGCCCCCCCAATGCCGTGTCCGTCGGCACAATAAATCAATTGTCGGCAAAATAAATTGGATCAAGCCAATAGGCAATACCTGATTGGAGAGAGATTGTTTGTAGAAAATTTGTAGAAAATGCGAGATCGAGAAGATGGATATGTCGACTGAAAGCTCGGCCCTTTTCCGAACATTCAGCTCAGTAAATTGGCCAAGAACTTATTACGCTAATACGCTATTTAATAGTGTTATATTTTCTTGCAATTTTGTGAAGTAGGCCTATACCATAGCTAGGAAATTCGAAGCACATGTGCGTGTTGACTGTCGATGCGCCTGCGCTTCATTTCATAATCTTGTAAAGCCAGTAAAGGTCTCAGAAATTACACCTAACGGTCTTTTATACAATGAGAAATACGGAGATGATTTAAAAGTATGGACAGTAGCAAGCAAAAACGCGAACGGAAGAGAGAGAAACTGACGTGTTTAGATTGTAATCGGTCGTTTGATGGCGAATGGATGTGCTTTTTCGACTATTTCCCCTATTTTAAAAATAAATTAAAATAAATTTTCTTACTACTCGGAGTTAATCGTTGTACATCACTTAAAAATGAATACGGTTCGCCTTGACCACGCCCTAACCGCGCGCTAGCCACGCCCTTTTGTCGGCAAAAAGTTGCCTTGCACCCCCCGAAAAGGATAGTCTTCGCTCCGCCCATGTGAGGAGGGTGAAGATCTCCTAGCTGTTATCAATGAGTCTTTAAACCCTTCCGATGAAACTAGGGCCCCTTTTTCAGAGCGCTTGGCCGAACTGGTGAACGAAAAATTCGCACTTGAGTTTGATTTGCAGAAACGTAAATCTATAATGGAGAACTATAGGACTCCTAAGAATTGTGACCAATTTCTTTCCCCCCGGGTAAACCCTGAGATTTGGGCGAGATTGCAAAGTTCTGTCAAAAGAACAGATATCAAATCCTCTGTCTTGCAAGATATCTTGCTAAGTGTATCCTCTCCTATAATAAATACAATGGAGGCTTTGCTTCAGAGCAGAGAAAAGAAAGCCTCGTCAAATTATAAGGCACTTTTGTCAAATTTTTCAGATTCTAATGCCCTCCTAGGGCATGCGCACAGAGAAATGTCATTTAATCGTAGAGATGCACTTCGGTCTCACCTAAATCCGGAATTTCGGCAAGAATTCTCCCTGGTTGTTAAGCCCACAGGGTTCTTATTTGCGGATGATCAATCCAAGACCATCCAAGATATTCGAGCCACAAACAAAGTCGTTAATACCGTGACCCAGGGAACTCCTTACAATCGTGAGTCATCCCGATTCCAGAGCCCCCAACCATATCGAATACAGCCCGAAAACCTTTTTTATGGCAAAGGGGTAGGAGGACATACTCGCACAGGAACAACTTCCACCAAGGGTTTCATCAACAGCCGTCCTCAGCCCCTCTCAAAATTAAAAGAAATTTATAAACAAATCACGTTTTTAAAGACTCAGCCTCAGATAAATAGTTTTTCTGCTTTTATGGAGGGCCCATTTAAATTAGATGTTATGTCAAGGGTGTCAGCTTTCCAAAGGGGGCAGTTGTCTTCTCACTACTCTAATTGGGTAAAACTTACTTCAGATGGATCTATCCTTGAAACTGTTTTGGGTGAGAAGATAGACTTTATAGATATTCCAATAGCCTCATCTTACCCGCCAACTAGCATATGTAAAGAACACGTACTGCTCATTAGCTGATGCAGAAATTAAAAGATCACGAGAAAAAAGGTAATTATCGAGTGTGCCCATGAAGAAGGGGAATTTGTCTCCCCTGTATTTACTGTATTTGATGCCCCCATGCCCCCATCTAAGGATGGCCCTGTAGAGTTAAGATGGTGGGTTAACCATACAGATGAAAGTCTTAATTATCATCTTATGATTCCCCCCATTGACATTACAATATAACCTGGTGCATCCTTACATGGATGGGGAGCAGTACTAGGTGATACATCTTGGAGGTGGTCACCTGATGAATGCACAATTGACATCAATTATCTTGAACTTCTGGCTGCATTTTTTGCCGTAAAATTGTTTTGCAATACCATTCAGGGTAGCAGTAATTAGCAGTCATACAACAGCAGTAGCAGTAATTAACAACATGGGGTGTTCCATAGTCGTGCCTGTCTCTCGGTTGATCGTCAGATCTGGCAATTTTGTGTAGAAAATAACACTTGGCTTACCGCTGCTCACGTTCTTGGTTTTAAAAATGTCTTAATCCACTATTATTACATGATGCGCTCAATACTTTAAAATTTCAACCTGAGATAGATCTTTTTGCATCACGCTTAAATAAGCAGTTTTCTCTACATTGCACTTACAGGCCAGACCCTGAAGCAATTTTTGTTTGTTTTTTTTTTGTTGTTTTTTTCTATCTCATGGGCTGACTCAAAGTTTTATTGTTTCCCTCCGTTTAGTTGTTTGTTACGGGCCGTGAAGAAAATAATTCAGGAGCATGCCCAGGGAATTTTAGTTGTCCCAGACTGGTCCACCCAGCTTTGGTATCCACTGTTGGCCCCGCTTCATGTTCAACCTCCAGTGGTCCTGGAACCCAATCACACACTGTTGAGCCTTTGTCACTATCTGGAAATAATTCATTCCCTTTGCAGAAAGCTTTTAGTATGTCATGTCTCAGGCGACAACTACAACAACGAGGCTACTCGTTAAGATCCATCGAAATCATTGAATCCTCATGGAGGGATAGCACAAAATCTCAATACCAAGTGCATCTACAAAGTGGTTGCAATTTTCTATGGAAAGGGACGGTGATATCATCTCCCCCTCCTTACCACAAGCGTTAGATTTTCTGCCATCCCTGTTCGACTTGGGTTTATCTTATAGCTCACTAAACTCGGCGAGGTGTGCTTTATCTGCTGTTCTGCAGTTAAGTGACAGTGCAGTAACCTTTGGACAGTTACCTATTGTCAAGCGTTTTATGAAGGGATGTTCGAAGTGCGTCCGGCGCTCCCTCGTTACCAGACAACCTGGGATGTCAGCAAAGTTTTAGCCATTTCTTTCGAAAGCAGCCTATGCTTTCAGCGTTGACTTTAATAAAAGACCTTACTGTTAAAGTTACATTTTTGTTATCTTTACTAAGCGGACAGCGCTGTCAAACGATTCACCTTTTAACTATCGATAATATGATTCTCGTGGCTGATAAGTGCACCTTTCACGTCAGGGAGAAATTAAAATTAACAGACGCATGTTGGAACCCATGTGAAACCCCTAGAGTTTTTGAAGTATTCATCAGAGCCTCAGCTTTGCGTCGTTACGCATCTCTTAGAGTATGTCAAGAGAACTGCCTGTAATAGGAACGATACAAAGCAATTGCTACTTAGTCACGTAAAACCATATGGACCTGTCTCCAAAGATACAATCTCTCGGTGGATAAAATCTGTTTTGTCATCTGTGGGTTTGGATGTTACCAATCGCGCAGCATCTACATTATTTCTAGCGTTAAATAACTGTAATATTAAGGATATCATGTTATCAGCAGGTTGGTCGAATGAACAAACATTTCAACGCTTTTATAATAAGCCGAGCGAGGACGAATTTAATTTTGGCAACTCTGTCTTAGAGTGTTATACAAACGCAAGGGCGGATTTAGACCGTTGCAACTGTAGCATATGCTACGGTCAGATTTTCCATAGGCTAGTTCTAGCATGGTTCATAAAATCAATTTAAAATACTGGTATAATTTAGCAATATTTTATTTACTTTCCTTTTTATATTTCAAGGTTTTATTTTGATTTAGTTATGTTTAAAACATTTATTTCATTTTGACGAATTGATGACATTGATACGTAACGTTATTTTAAGAATTCCCGCCCGAAAATACGCTTGTAATTGCGCGTTTGCTGGTCATTACGCAATACATACATACATGCATTTTTTTATTTTTTTTTTATTTACGCCCGTAAAAAATATCAAGTTATTTACATTTATTTTAGTCTATTGTTTTGGATAGGCTAGGAGCCTTCTAGAAACCTACTAGGCTTTTTAATTAAGACCCCTATAGACTATACTTACATGCATTGTTTCATTCTATTTACATAATCATTTATTTAGTCATGCTAGCCTCAGCGTTAGCTGGTTTTCATGAGGGGCGTGTATTGCAAAATAGTAACATAAAGCTACTTATTAATTATGATAGACATTAGATATATTACTTACAAGTACAAAATAAAATACATTCACAAATTACTAAGCCGGATTACAGATTAATACACGCGTAAAAACGCTCAGGTTGATGCAAGTTGTCAACAAGTTGCTGCAACTTGGTTCTGAACAGGATGCAGCAATATTGTGCGGCCCACTTGCAGCAATGTTGTCAACAATATTGTTCACGCTTGTTCGAACAATGTTGTTGACGCCTGATGAACGAACAAGGCCTGAACAACGTTGTTGGGACAACTGAGATCAACCTGATATCAATGATGTTTTATATTGTCAACAACTGCGAACAGTCTTGTTTTATCAATACGTAAACAGCCTGATATCAATCGTTTTCGACGCTGTTATTCGTGGCCATTTTCCAGGGGGGGGAGATAAATTAAAAGGCACAGTTCAGCCTTTTGAATGATGTTTTTTGGCGCATTACAAGCCTTTTAATTGAAAAAACTAACTAGGAAAATCAATTAAGCATAATTCAAGATCAGTGATTTCAATGTTTTTAACATTTTTAAACATTTCTAATGTTAAAAACATTGAGTTCACTAATTTTGAATTATGCTTAATTGATTTTCCTAGTTAGTTTCTTCAATTAAAAGGCTTGTGATGCGCCATAAAAACCATCATTCAGAAGGCTGAACTGTGCCTAATAAATAAGCACACAAACAGACAAACTTCGCTTCTTGATATGAAATTCAGTTTATTTTGAAATAACAAAATACAGATTAGTGAACAAATACAAACTAAAAAGTTAATTACAGTAAAAGTACAAAGGTAAGATAACTATAAACTATTTTATATGCAATTAAGGTTTATAAAATACTAAGTACTATTTATCAATCTAAATACTTCATAATGTTAAGTGTTTTGACTTTTGAGTTCATATTAAATACTGGTAAACAATGGCAGTATTTTAGCAAAAGTTAGTGCAACATTGCAACCTCTATAATTATTATTTAGGTATTGTCAGGATGGAATTTGAATCTGTTGGAGCAAGTCTATCACAGAGATTTTATGAACCATGCATGCAATTTGTGACCTTCCAGGGGAAAACATACGTTAACGATTTTGCATTAAAACGGGCAAAAAAACGGATAACGAACGGATAGTAAACGCTTTGTCAAATCGTTTCAACGGATCCTCAAAACGTTTTAGACGTTTTGAGTAAAAAATACGAACGGATGAAGACAAAAAATTTAACGGCTCTACGAACGGCTTTAACAAACCGTTCGAACGGAATTAAGAAACCGTTTAACGATATTCAGCGACCGTTTCAACGGTCTGTACAGAATGGTATAAAGCAGTGAACAATAATATACACTAAAACATCAGTGCACTGATCCAGAATTAACAACCACGCATTTATCCGGCAGATGCATGCAGACGCATGCACACACAAAATATATCACTTTGGTGTTTATAAACCTTTCAAATTTTATGGATTTCCATACTAACAAAATCAAAGACGCTAAAGTGGTTTGCACTAAGTCTAAAGACAATCTGTTACCGGAGACATGCGGCGATATCAGTTTTTTTCATAACACAGCCGACCTGAGACTTACGTATATAAGGTCTCTACTGTAAACGCGACTATCAGGACTATGCGCAATATGTAATAGTTATCAGGCCTAAACTAAAAGTATAGTACACATACGAAACATGCATATAGTCTCTATAGTCTATGTAAGAAATTTTGCGTAGGATTTGTTGGCAATATTTTCGTGATTCATAATTTCAAAAAGGAAATTAAATTAATTAGCGTGATATAATAAGATTATGCATGAAAATAGCCAGACAAGAACACTATAATAGCACAATCCAAAGTTTGAAAAATGAACATGAACTCGCGAGCTGATAATAGCTGTGTAGTGGGGATTTAGCGATCACAGTTTGAGTATGCAACGCTAAGACACAACAGCTAGAACTATATATACGTACATTATCTCATTTATCTGTGTTGATCGAACTTGTCGCGAGTGCTATTGTCTCAATTATAGCCTGTGACTCAGACGGGCTCAGTATAACTTGTTTGATATTGTGGTATTTGTGGACACATTTCTGTCAAAAATCGGTCGTCCACTGCATGCTTAATTTACGCATCGGTAATTTCCTCTTTACTATAGCCTGTAAAACACGGCAGGTCTAAAATGCAGCTAGGTGCTAATTGTTAA